TTGGGATGGTCAAGGGATGGGTTTGGGATGGTCAAAGGATGGGTTTGGGATGGCCGAGGGATGGGTTTGGGATGGTCAAGGGATGGGTTTGGGATGGTCAAAGGATGGGTTTGGGATGGTCAAAGGATGGGTTTGGGATGGCCGAGGGATGGGTTTGGGATGGTCAAGGGATGGGTTTGGGATGGTCAAGGGATGGGTTTGGGATGGCCGAGGGATGGGTTTGGGATGGTCAAGGGATGGGTTTGGGATGGTCAGGGGATGGGTTTGGGATGGTCAGGGGATGGGTTTGGGATGGGCAAAGGATGGGTTTGGGATGGCCGAGGGATGGGTTTGGGATGGTCAAGGGATGGGTTTGGGATGGCCGAGGGATGGGTTTGGGATGGCCGAGGGATGGGTTTGGGATGGTCAAAGGATGGGTTTGGGTTGGTCAAGGGATGGGTTTGGGACGACTGAGGGATGCGTCAAAGGATGGGTTTGGGACGGTCAAAGGATGGGTTTGGGATGGTCAAGGGATGGGTTTGGGATGGTCAATTGATGGTCAAAGGGTGGGCTTGGAATGGTCAAGGGATGGTGAAAGGATGGCTGAGGGATGGCCAAAGGGTGGTCAAGGAATGGTCGAGGGGTGGGCAAGGAATGGCTGAGGTGGTGTTGGAGGAAGAAGTGAGGGATGGATCTGAGGAAGGACCAAGGGGTGGATGAGGAGGGCCCAAGGGGTGGATTTGTCAATCAATCGATCGATTCCTCACTCTATCGGTCACTATTGATCTGTTGGGGTGTCTGTCCATCTATCGATCTATCAATGAATCCAATTGGTCAATCCCAGCTTCTGCTGACCAATCCATCCCTGGCTATTACTTGCTATCAGCTCAGGCCCTCACTGCTCTTCCCATTAGCAACCAATCATCAACCAATCACCAACCAATCATTCATCATCAATCGATCATCAATCAATCACCAATCACCAACCAATCATTAATCATCAATCATCTATCATCTATCATCAATCGATCCATCCCCTCCCCATCCCATCTCCCATCCCCTCTCCGTCAATCCACCCCCCCTGGCTCTGGGCTCCCATCTCTGCCCTCTTCCAGTGTCTGGCTCCATCCCTGTCCCTGTGTCCCCATGTCCTTCCCTTTACTCTTCCATCCTTCACCCCCCGGTCAATCAATGGATCAATCAATGGATCAATGGATCAATCAATGGATCAATGTTTCACACCCCCCTCATTGACTCCTTAACTGCTCCATCACCTCTAAGTGACTCTTCTATTTTTCCTCATCAATCATTGATTGATCATTGATCAATCTCCTGATCAGTCTCCAGCATCTCTATTGATCCATCCAGGTATCTATAACTGACAAACCGATCAATAACCTTTCCATTGATCAATCATCCATTCATCCATTTATTGCTTTATCATCTGCCTATTGATCAATGGATCAGCATGTATCTCTCATTGAGCAGGCTATTTTCCTTTAATCAATTGATTGATTGATTGACCTTTAATCTGCTGATCCATCTCTCATCCTCTCTGTATTGATCAAGGGAATCTATTGATCAGTGACCTTCCTCTATCTATTGCCAGCCCTATTGGTCTCTATTGATCCATGTATCACCCTTCGTCTCTTGATTGATCAATCTCTTTAGTGTCTTCATTGATCGATCAGCTGAGGTTTAATCCCTCCATTGATCAATCAGATGAGGTTTAATCCTTCCATAGATCGATCAGTTGAGGTTTAATCCTGCCATTGATCGATCAGCTGAGGTTTAACCTCTCATTGATCGATCAGTTGAGGTTTAATCCTGCCATTGATCTATCAGCTGAGGTTTAACCTCCCATTGATCGATCAGCTGAGGTTTAACCTCCCATTGATCAGCCTTTCCCTCCACTGCTTGATCTATTGATCCCCATTGGCCTCTCTCCCAGCCACCACTCACCTTTCCGTTGCTCCCACTATCCCCGACCTTCTCCCAGCACCTGATCCCACTTCCCGGAGCCGTCTGCTGGCCCCTACTGCCCCATGGCCCGTCCCTGCCCCTGCCCTTCTCCCTGCTCTTATTTAAATCCACCTCCATTCCCGGTTAACGTTTGACTCCGGCAGGATCAGACCCCGCTATGGGTCACTGGAAACCGTCATCCAGGCATGTCCAGCGGCTCCCTGGGGCATCACCATCCTCTCCCTCTGATCCCAGCCGGATGGGACCCCCCCCCCCCCGGCCCCTCTGGTTGCTGTCACCATCCAGGGTGGGGGGTGATTGATAGGGCCACATTCCTGAACCAGATCCCGGGAGCCCCTTGGACCGGAGGCAGTGGGAAGCAGCGGAACGTAACGGTATGGGTCAGTGAGCAGGGAAACGAGCCAGGAGAGGAGCTGGGGACTTGGGATGGGTGGTGCTTGGGATGCCTGGATCCTGGTCACATGGATTCCTGGAAACCTGGGTCCTTGGGATACCCAAATGCCTGGCACCAGGACATCAGGGCATCAGGATGTCTGGGGGTCCAGATGCTTAGGTCCTTGGGATCCTTTGGTTCTTAGACATCTGGATTCCTGGGTCTTTGGGATGTCTGGACACCATCTGGGTTCCTGGGATCGCTGGGCACCTGGATCCCTGGGTTCTTGGGACATCTGGGCATCCCAGTGCCTGGATTCCTGAGCATCATCCATCCATCCACCCATCCATCCATTCATCCATCAATCCATCGACCCATCATCCATCCATCAATCCATCGATCCATCATCCATCCTTCATCCATCGATCCATCATCCATCGTCCATCCATCCACCCATCCATCCATCATCCATCCATCCATCATCCATCCATCATCCATCCATCACTTATCCATCCATTCATCCATCCGTCATCCATCCATTTATCCATCCATCATCCATCCATCTATCATCCATCCGTCATCCATCACCCATCCATCCATCATCCATCCATCATCCATCCATCCATTCATCATCCATCCATCATCCATCCATCTATTATCCATCCGTCATCCATCACCCATCCACCTATCCATCATCCATCCATCCATCCACCCATCATCCATCCATCCATTCATCATCCATCCATCATCCATCCATCTATTATCCATCCGTCATCCATCACCCATCCACCTATCCATCATCCATCCATCCATCCACCCATCACGAGGTCCCCACATGATCCAGAGGCCACAATGCCACCAGGAGAGCCATGGAGGGGATGAATCCCACCCCAAAACTGCTCTTCACCATCCCCTCAGGCTTCTCACCCCACCGGCACGTAGCCTGGCCAGCTCTGGGTTGGGGTTAATGTTTGGGTCAATGGTTGGGTCAATTATTGGGTCTATGGTTTGGTCAATGGGTGGGTTAATGGGTGGGTCAATGGTTGGGTTGATGATTGGGTTAATGGCTGGGTCTATGGTTGGGTTAATGGTTGGGTCAATGGGTGGGTTGATGATTGGGTTAATGGTTGGGTCTATGGTTGCGTTAATGATTGGGTCTATGGCTGGGTCAATGCTCAGGTCAGTGGGTGGGTTAACGGTTGGGTTAATGGGTGAGTCAGTGGGTGGATGAATGAATGGGTTAATGGGTGGATCAATGGTTGGGTTAACGGTTGGGTCTATGGGTGTGTCAATGGGTGGGTTAATGGTTGGGTCAATGGGTGGGTCAATGGTGGGTTAATGGGTGTGTCAATGGGTGTGTCAATGGTTGGGTCAATGGGTGTGTCAATGGGTGTGTCAATGGTTGGGTCAATGGGTGGGTCAATGGTGGGTTAATGGGTGTGTCAATGGGTGGGTCAACGGGTGGGTCAATGGGTGGGTCAACGGATGGGTCAACGGGTGGGTTAATGGGTGGGTCAGTGGGTGGGTCAATGGTGGGTTAATGGGTGGGTCAATGGGTGGGTTAACGGGTGGGTCAATGGGTGGGTCAACGGATGGGTCAACGGGTGGGTTAATGGGTGGGTCAGTGGGTGGGTCAATGGTGGGTTAATGGGTGGGTCAATGGGTGGGTTAATGGGTGGGTCAATGGGTAGGTTAATGGTTGGGTCAATGGGTGGGTCAATGGTTGACATCTGGAGTGGGGTTTTGGGATGGCTTCCAGAAGACTCCAGAGGCCAAAGTGCAGGCAGGGAGAGGACAAAGGTTGTCGAGGGGGACACTGGGGCCACCAAGCACCACCAAAGGGTATCTAGAACCTAATCCATCAGCAGAACATCCCACCACTCATGGGGACCCCAAAGAACCACCCAAAATGGGGCAGGATTGGGGCAAACCTTTGTTGGGTTTGTTCTTCTGCAGGGTCGCGTTGTGGAGCGGGAGAAGCAGCTTTTGGAGAGGACCCAACCTTCAAGTGGGTGCCTTGAAGGAGATGGGGGGGGGGGGGGAGCTGCTTGTGTTGGCCATGGGGTGACCTCCATTGGGTTAATGTTCAGCCAGGGCTGTGGGCAGGAGGTGGCCCCGGTGCGGGTCAGCGCGTGGGCACTGGGTTAATCTTTGATGGGCTCAACCCAAGCAAGGCTTTGGTGGGGCCAAGGGACACGTTGGAGATGGGAGCAAGGGCCAGTGGGGGGCAAAAGGGGAAGGGGCACCATGGGGGTGGCTGGAGGGGGGTGGTGGCACTCAAGAGGTCTGAGAACTTCTCAAGGGGTTGGGGACCCTCGAATGGGACAAGAGTTGGGGGGGTTTGGGGCTCTTGGGTGTTGAATTGATGGAGGTGATCTCCAATGTGGTAGTGGTGAGCAGGAGGGACGTGGTTCTTGGGCATTGTCCTGTTGGAGGTGGCCTCAGGGACACAGTTCTTCATCATTGGCCAGTCGGAGGTGACTTCAGGGAGAAGACGATGAGGTGCTGTGGAAGGTGACCCCCCAACAAGAGGGTTCTGGGGCACCATCTTCTTGGAGGTGACCTCAGGGACACAGCTCTTGGGCACTGTCCCATTGGAGGTGACCTCAAAGAGGGTCACCAGGTGTCATCCAAGTGGAGGTGACCTCAGAAACACCCCAAGCCGTTGTCCCCACCAGAGCCGCTTTATTGCTCCCAGGACTCCTCCGTCCCCGTCCCCAGGTGAGGATGGGGGGGCCCATTGGGGGGTGCAGGGCGCTGTGTCCCACCACCCACCATGGGCCCTCAGGGCTCCTTCTGCGGTGTCTTCTCCTGTGGCTCCAGGGGGATCTTTTCCTTGGGGTCTTCCTTGGGCTTCCGCTTGGCCCTAGGGGAGGAGGAGACTCCATGGACATGACAGGGGCCAAGTCCAGTGCCTGCCCATCAGGAGCTCCTGGCACTGGGGCTTCTGCCAATTCAGCCATCCAGTGAGCACCAACACAGATGTGTGTCCATCCGTCATCCGTGCATCCATCAATCATCCATACATTCATCAGCAAACCATCATCCATCTATCCATCCATCCTTCCATCCATCATCCATCCACCATCCCTACATTCATCATCAATCCATCATCCATCTATCCATCCATCCTACCATCCATCATCCATACATTCGTCAACCCATAATCCATCATTCATCCATCATCCATCCATTCATCATCCATCATCCATCCATCATCCATTCATTCATCATACATCATCCATCACCACCCATCCATCATCCATCATTCATCAATCCATCACCCATCATTCATCCATCATCATCCATCCATCAACCATCATTCATCATCCATCATCATCCATCCATCATCCATCTACCCATCATCTATCCATCATTCATCATCTGTCACCATCCATCCATCCATCATTCATCCATCATCCATCCACCATCCATTCATCACCTATCCATCTATACATCATCCATCATCCATCCATCACCTATCCATTCATGCATCATCCATCATCCATTATCATCCATCCATCATCCATCTATTCATCATCTATCAATCATTCATCATCATCCATCATCCATCATCTATCCATCATTCATCATCATCCATCTATCCATCATCCATCCATCCATCAATCACCTATCCATCCATGCATCATCCATCATCCATCCATCATCCATCATCATCCATGCATCATCCATCATCCATCATCATCCATCCATCATCCATCATCATCCATCCATCATCCATCTATCCATCATCTATCCATCATTCATCATCATCCATCTATCCGTCATCCATCCATCCATCAATCACCTATCCATCCATGCATCATCCATCATCCATCCATCATCCATCATCATCCATGCATCATCCATCATCCATCATCATCCATCCATCGTCCATCTATCCATCATCTATCCATCATTCATCATCATCCATCATCCATCCATCCATCCCCTATTCTTCCATCCATCATCCATCCATCACCTATCCACCATCCATCCACCCCTCATCCCCTCTCACCTGCTCTCCACCTCCTGGATGGTGTCTGGAAGGGGCATGTTGAGTGTCTCCGGAAGGAACGCGGCCACCGCGGCTGCCACCACTGGGAACACCCCATAGACAGCAGGGGGCAGGAGGGGGTAGGACTCATCCAGCATCTTCACCAGCGGCGCCACGATGCCACCGACCCGCGCCATGGTGCTGCCAAAGCCCAGCCCCGTCTGCCTGCAGCCGCCATGGGACAAGGACACCAGGGTCACCCATAGGAGATGGGACAGGGATGCCTGGTGTCACCCATGGGTGCTGGTACCTGATAGGGGTGGGGTAGAGCTCGGTGGTGTAGAGGAACACGCAGTTGAAGGAGGCTGAGAGGCAGCCCTTGCCCAGCACCGCCAGCGCCGTGCGCAGCGTCTGCAGCTCTGTGGGACACGGACATGGATGGATGGGGGATGGAGGATGGATGAGTGATGGATGGATGATGAATGTATGGATGATGGATGGATGATGAATGTATGGATGATGGATGGATGATGGATGATGGATGGAAAATTGATTGTGGATGATGGATGATGGATGAATGGATGAATGATGGATGATGTATAGATGGATAGGTGATGGATGGATGGTGGATGGATGATGGATGAATGATGGATAGATGGATTATGGATGATGGATTGATGGATGATGGATGATGGATGATGGATGATGTATTGATGGATGATGGATGGATGGAGGATGGATGATGGACGAATGAATGATGGAAGGATGATGAATGGGTGGATGGCTGGATGGAGATGATGCTTAATCCAACGGCTGGAGAAGGGAGCGATGGGTGAGGAGCATACGACAGTTGTGTGACCCACAGGTGGGGACATCAGGGGCTGGACCAGGCCCTGCAGGAGGTCCCATTGGCCCCAGCACTCACCTGTGGGCACGAAGATGTTGGCGATGATGGCCAAGCCTGCCAGGAAGAGCGCTACGGCAAGGGACAGGCGCCGGCCCACGTAGCTCAGTGAGATGGTCACCACCACCTTGGCTGGGAAGTCCACGGCGCCGAAGATCACCTGGATGAGGTAAATGCTGACCCCGAAGTTCTGCAGGTCCATGGCCAGCCCATAATAGGAGAAACTGATGGAGAACCTGGAGCGGGGCAGTGGGATGGACCTTGAGCTGGTGGCACCAACCTGGGGTGTTACTGTGGGGTGGGAGCTGAGGTGGGGGAGATGAGGGTGGTGGTGCCATTGGATGGCTGGATTCACTGATTGTCCAACTGTTCATTCATCCATCATCCATCCATCATCCATCCATCCATCCATTCATCCATCATCCATCCATTCATCCATCCATCCATCCATCCATCCATCCATCCATCCATCATCCATTCATCCTTCCAACCATCCATCATCCATCCATCCATCCATCCTATCTATCATACATCAATCATCTGCCCATCATCCATCCATCTATCACCCATCCACCATCCATCATTCACCCATCATCCATCCATCATCTACCCATCATCCACCCATCCACCATCCATCATTCACCCATCATCCATCCATCATCCACCATCCATCACCCATCTTCCCTCGCGACCCCATCCCTCCCTCCTCCTCCTTCCCCAGCCCCACCACACGATGGAGAGGCAGAAGAAGATGCGGCGGATGACGGGCGTCCGGACCAGGTCAGAGATGGTGTAGGAGGCCTTGAGCCCAGCCAGCTCCTCCTTCATGTGGGACCTCAGGATCTGGAGGTGGGGGTTGCGCAACGGGACACGTTGGTGGGGACAGGGGTGGGAAACCAGGACACACACCCCCCCCCTCCATGGGGCCACCAAACCTCCACCGTGATCTTCTCCCCTTCCTCCTTCCTCCCGTTGATCCCGGCCACGCGCTGCAGGACCTTCACGGCCACCTCGGCCTTGCCCGAGAGCACCAACCAGCGCGCGGACTCCGCCAGCCACCTGCAGTGGGAGGGGATGATGGGGCCCTGGAGCCGTCACTGCGTCCCCACTGCGTCCCTACTGCATCCCTACTGCATCCCTACTGCATTGCACTGCATCGCACTGCATCCCCACTGCATCCCTACTGCATCGCACTGCATCCTACTGCATCCCTACTGCATCCCTACTGCATCCCACTGCATCCCTACTGCATCGCACTGCATCGTACTGCATCCCTACTGCATCCCACTGCATCCCTACTGCATCCCACTGCATCCCTACTGCATCGCACTGCATCGCACTGCATCCCTACTGCATCCCACTGCATCCCTACTGCATCCCTACTGCATCCCTACTGCATCGCACTGCATCGCGCTGCATCGCACTGCATCCCTACTGTATCCCTACTGCATCCCACTGCATCCCTACTGCATCGCACTGCATCCCTACTGCATCCCTACTGCGTCCCACTGCATCCCTACTGCATCGCACTGCATCCCACTGCATCCCACTGCATCCCTACTGCATCCCACCTCATCCCACTGCATCGCACCTCATCCCACCACATCCCACTGCATCCCACCACATCCCACCATATCCACTGCATCGCACCTCATCCCACCATATCCCACTGCATCCCACCTCATCCCACCATATCCCACCTCATCCCACCACATCCCACTGCATCCCACCACATCCCACCATATCCCACTGCATCCCACCTCATCCCACCACATCCCACTGCATCCCACCACATACCCACATCCCACCTCATCCCACTGCATCCCACCTCATCCCATCACATCCCACCACATCCCACCACATTCCACCCCATTCCACCTCATCCCACAGCATCACATCCCACCACATCCCACCTCATCCCATCACATCCCACCTCAACCCATCACATCCCACCTCAACCCATCACATCCCACCTCATCCCACCACATCCCACCACATTCCACCACATTCCACCCCATCCCACAGCATCACCACGTCCCACTGCATCCCATCACATTCCACCCCATCCCACCCCATCCCACCACATCCCACCACATCCCACAGCATCACCAGATCCCACCACATCCCACCGCATCCCACCACATCCCACCTCATCCCATCACATTCCACCCCATCCCACCTCATCCCACAGCATCACCCCATCCCACCACATCCCACTTCATCCCACCTCATCCCACTGCATCCCACCACGTCTCACCAGATCCCACCTCATCCCACCGCACCCCACCTCAGTGTCCTACCAGGAGTAGAGGAGGAAGCCGAAGAAGGGCAGGGACACGGTGAGCTGGAGGCTGCGCCAGTGGGGCACGGCAAAGGCCACCCCTGCCAGCAGGATCTGCCCCAGGGTGTAGGCAAAGCCGGTGATGGCCACGGTGATGGCGCGGTGGGACGTGGGGATCCACTCCACCACTGCGGGGACACCGTGACACAGAGGGGCCTGGGCATGGCCAATGGGCCCAGCCATGGCCATGGGGGTGACAACACCCATGGGGCAGTCCAGGCATGGCCATTGGGACAACCCAGCCCGTGGCCAATGGGTTGTGCCCTCCACAGCCATTGGGTCATCCCCACCCATGGCCATTGGGTCATCCCCACACACGGCCATTGGGTCATCCCCATCCATGGCCATTGGGTCATCCCCACCCATGGCCATTGGATCATCCTCATCCATGGCCATTGGGTCATCCCCACCCATGGCCATTGGGTCATCCCCACCCATGGCCATTGGGTCATCCCCATCCATGGCCATTGGGTCATCCCCATCCATGGCCATTGGATCATCCTCATCCATGGCCATTGGGTCATCCCCATCCATGGCCATTGCGTCGTTCTCATCCATGGCCATTGGGTCATCCCCATCCATGGCCATTGGGGTGTCTCCATCCATGGCCATTGGGTCATCCCCATCCATGGCCATTGGGTCATCCCCATCCATGGCCATTGGGTCATCCTCATCCATGGCCATTGGGTCATCCCCATCCATGGCCATTGAATCATCCTCATCCATGGCCATTGGGTCATCCCCATCCATGGCCATTGGGTCGTTCCCATCCATGGCCATTGGGTCATCCCCATCCATGGCCATTGGGTCATCCCCATCCATGGCCATTGGGGTGTCTCCATCCATGGCCATTGGAACATCCCCACCCATGGCCATTGAGTTGTCCTCTCCACAGCCATTGGGTTGTCTCTTCCATGGCCATTGGGACATCCCAACCCATGGTCATTGGGCTGATCCGATCCATGGCTGTTGGGTCATCTCCATCCATGGCCATTGGAACATCCCCACCCATGACCATTGGGTTGTCCTCTCCACAGCCATTGGGTTGTCTCTTCCATGGCCATTGGGACATCCCAACCCATGGCCATGGTGATGTCCCCCTGTGTCCCCTGTCCCTCACCCAGGCAGGCGATGCTGAGCCCGAAGCCGGACAGGGCCATGCCACCAGCGAAGCGCAGGACGCAGTAGGTCGCGTAGTTGGGGGCAAAGGCAGTGCAGGTCCCCATCACCCCCAGCTGCAGGTAGGACCACATCAGCATGGCCTTGCGCCCGAACCTGCAATAGCAGCACTGGGAGGCACTGGGAGGCACTGGGAGGCACTGGGTGCTGGGGGGGGGGCAATGGCCAAGGGAGAAATGGAGGCTCCAGGGGGGTTCTCTTCACCTTTACCTGTCCGAGAGGCCCCCCAGGACGAGGGCACCCACCAGGACCCCGGCCATGTAGATGGATTGGGCCATCTGCCGGAGCTGCCGGTAGCTGCAGACCAGGTCCCACTGCAGGGATGTGATGAGGCGAGGTCCTGCTCTGTTCTCTTCTCCATCCATCATGCACCATCCATCATCCATCCATCATCCATCCATTCATCCATCCATCATCCATCATCCATCCATCCATTCATCCATCCATCATCCATCATCCATCCATCCATCATCCATGAATCCATCATTCACCCATCATCCATCCATCATCTATCCATCATCCACCCATCATCCATCCATCATCCATCCAGCACCCATCCATCCATGAATCCATCATTCACCCATCATCCATCCATCATCTATCCATCATCCACCCATCATCCATCCATCATCCATCCAGCACCCATCCATCCATTATCCCTCCATCATCCATCCATCATCCATCATCCATCATAATCTATCCATCACCCATCCATCCATGCATCATCCACCATCCACCATCCATCATCCATCATCATCCACCATCCATCCATCATCCATCATCCATCCATCATCCATCATCATCCATCCACCATCCATCATCATCCACCATCCATCATCCATCATCATCCACCATCCATCCAACATCCATCATCCATCCATCATCCATCATCCATCCATCCCCCATCCCCCATCCCCTTCACCCCCCACCCCCATCCTCCCCACCCCCTCCATCCCCACCCCATCCCACCCCTTTCCCACCCCCAGGGCCCCTTTCCCCCCAGCCACCGTAACCACCACCCCCCCCCCATGCCCACGTCCCCACCTCGGTGACGATGGTGGCCACGTAGGTGCTGCGGTCGTACTCCCACCCATCGCCGCAGGGCTCGGTGCGCCGGGGCCCGGCGCTGCCGTTACCGGAGCTCGAGGCCACGTAGCGCAGGCAGGAGCCAAGGGTGGCCTCGAAGGTGCCGTTCCCCCCCCATCGGGTGCCATTGGGCAGGTCCCAGGTGGCACCCGGCGCCCATGGGGTGGTGTTGAAGGGGGTGGCGAGGCGGCAGCGGTGGGGGGGGACGGCGGCGGTGAAGTTCTGCAGGAGGTTGTGGCTGGCCATGAGCAGGATGGGCACCACCAACAGCGTCGTCTGCAGCACCTGGAACCGGCCCAGGCCCCCGACCTGCGCCAGCACCGCCCCGAACGGCATCGCCGGGGCACCGGGACTGGTACCCGGGGGGGGGGGGGAGTGTGAGAGGAGAGGGGGGCACAGCGGAACCCATGGGGTAATGGCACCCATAGGGACAGAAGCACCCAGAGGGGAACCAGCACTCATGGGGACAGTGGCACCCATGGGGACATCAACCCTAGGGGCACCCATGGGGACAGAAGCACCCATAGGGGAACCAGCACTCATGGGGACAATGGCACCCATGGGGTAATGGCACCCATAGGGACAGAAGCACCCAGAGGGGAACCAGAGCTCATGGGGACAATGGCACCCATGGGGTAATGACACCCATAGGGACAGAAGCACCCAGAGGGGAACCAGCACTCATGGGGACAATGGCACCCATGGGACAATGGCACCCATAGGGACAGCAGCACCCAGAGGGGAACGAGCACTCATGGGGACAGTGGCACCCATGGGGTAATGGCACCCATGGGGACAGAAGCACCCAGAGGGGAACGAGCACCCTTGGGGACAGTGACACCCATGGGGACATCAACCCTAGGGGCACCCATGGGGACAGAAGCACCCATAGGGGCACCAGCACTCATGGGGACAATGGCACCCATGGGGTAATGGCACCCATAGGGACAGCAGCACCCAGAGGGGAACGAGCACTCATGGGGACAGTGGCACCCGTGGGGTAATGGGACCCATAGGGACAGCAGCACCCAGAGGGGAACGAGCACTCATGGGGACAGTGGCACCCATGGGGTAATGGCACCCATAGGGACAGCAGCACCCAGGGGGGAACCAGCACTCATGGGGACAGTGGCACCCATGGGACAATGGCACCCATAGGGACAGCAGCACCCATAGGGGAACCAGCACTCATGAGGACAGTGGCACCCATGGGGACATCAACTCTAAGGGGCACCTATGGGGATAGCAGCACCCAGAGGAGAACCAGCACTCATGGGGACAGTGGCACCCATTGGGACATCACCCTAAGGGGCACCCATGGGGACAGCAGCACCCATAGCAGCACCAGCACTCATGGGGACAATGGCACCCATGGGGACATCAACCCTAAGGGGCACGCATGGGGACAGCAGCACCTATAGGGCAGTGGCACCCATGGGGACAGAGGCACCCATGGGGAGAGCAGCACCCATGGGGACATCAACCCTAAGGGGCACCCATGGGGACAGCAGCACCCATAGGGACAGTGGCACCCATGGGGATACTGGCAGCCATGGGGTCACTGGTATCCATAGGGAGAGCAGCACCCATAGGAACAGTGGCACCCATAGGACACTGGCACCTGTAGGGACATTGGCACCCATAGGGACACTGGCACCCATAGGGACACCAGCACCCACAGTGACAGTGGCACCCATAGGGACAGTGTCAGAGGGGGACAGCGGCACCCATGGGGACATCAACCCTAAGTGGCACCCATAGGGAGAGTGGCACCCATAGGGACAGTGGCACCCATGGGGATAGTGGCACCCATAGGGACACCAGCACCCTTAGGGACAGTGTCAGAGGGGGACAGCGGCACCCATGGGGACATCAACTCTAAGGGGCACCCACAGGGACAGTGGCACCCATAGAGACAGGGGCACCCATGGGGACGTCAACCCTAAGGGGCACCCATAGGGACACCAGCACCCACAGGGACAGCAGCACCCATAGGGACAGCAGCACCCATGGGGGCAATGGCACCCATAGCGACAGCGGCGCCCATGGGGACATCAACCCTAAGCAGCACCCATAGGGACAGCAGCACCCATAGGGACAGTGGCACCCATGGGGACATCAACCCTAAGCAGCACCCATAGGGACAGCGGCACCCATGGGGACATAAACCCTAAGCAGCACCCATAGGGACAGCAGCACCCATAGGGACAGTGGCACCCATGGGGACATCAACCCTAAGCAGCACCTGTAGGGACAGCGGCACCCATGGGGACATCAACCCTAAGCAGCACCCATAGGGACAGCAGCACCCATGGGGAAATCAACCCTAAGGGGCACCCACAGGGACACCGGCACCCATGGGGCCACCAGGGCATGGGGACACCCCCTATAGGGACCCTCTTGCGTCACGCGCCCTCCCTCCCCCCCCCCCCGAGGCTCCCTGGGTCGGGGACATCCGGTCAGATGCAGCTCCCATGTCCCCCCCCTCCCCCCCCCTGTCCCTTCCCCCCCCATATCCCCCCCCCCCCCGATGCCCTCACCCCATTCCCCTGTCCCCAACCCCCCCCCAGGCCCCTCCCCCCCCATATCCCCCCCCTTGATGCCCTCACCCCATTCCCCCGTCCCCAACCCCCCCAGTCCCCAACCCCCCCATGTCCCCCCCCCAAGTCCCCAACCTGTGCCCGTTCCCCCCCCACAATCACTTCCCCTACCCCAGATCCATCCCCTTACCCCACTGTCCCCTCCCCAATGTCCCCAGCCTGGCCCCCATCCCCATCCCAATCCCAATCCCTGTCCCCATCCCCATCCCAATCCCTCTCCCATTCCCTATCCCAAACTCTGTCCCTTTCCCTATCCCAATCCCTGTCCCCATCCCTATCCATGTCCCTATACGAGTACCTGCCCCTGTCCCTATCCCAATCCCGATCCCTGTCCCTATCTCAATCCCCATCCCAATCCCTCTCCCTATCCCAATCCCTCTCCCAATCCCTGTCCCCATCCCTATCCCTGTCCCTATACGAGTACCTGCCCCTGTCCCTATCCCAATCCTTCTCCCTATCCCAAACCCTCTCCCTATCCCTGTCCCTATCCCGATCCCTGTCCCTTTTCCTATCCCATTCTGTCCCCATTCCTATCCCATTCCGTCCCCATCCCTATCCCATTCCCTCTCCCCATCCCTATCCCTGGCCCTATCCCAGTACCTGCCCCTTTCCCTATCGCAAACCCGATCCCTGTCCCTATCCCTATACCTGTCCCTGTTCCCATCCCTATCCCTATCCGTGCCCCTGTCCCTATCCCAATCCCCATCCCGATCCCAATCCCAATCCCTATTCCAATCCCTATCCCGATCCTGATCACTGTCCCTATCCCAATCCCTCTCCCTATCCCGATCCCTGTCCCTTTTCCTATCCCATTCTGTCCCCATCCCCATCCCATTCCCTCTCTCCATCCCTATCCCAATCCCTCTCCCCATCCCTATCCCATTCCCTGTCCTCATCCCTATCCCAATCCCTATCCCTGTCCCTATCCCAGTACCTGCCCCTTTCCCTATCCCAAACCCGATCCCTGTCCCTATCCCGATACCTGTCCCTGTTCCCATCCCTGTCCCAATCCCTATCCCAATCCCTGTCCCTATCCCAATCCCTATCCCGATCCTGATCCCTGTCCCTATCCCAATCCCTCTCCCTATCCCTGTCCCTTTTCCTATCCCATTCTGTACCCATCCCTATCCCATTCCCTCTCCCCATCCCTATCCCAATCCCTCTCCCCATCCCTATCCCATTCCCTGTCCCCATCCCTATCCCAGTACCTGCCCCTTTCCCTATCCCAAACCCGACCCCTGTCCCTATCGCGATCCCTGTTCCCATCCCTATCCCAATCCCTGTCCCTGTCCCTATCCCAATCCCTCTCCCTATCCCTGTCCCTATCCTGATCCCCGTCCCTATCCCAGTACCTGTCCCTGTTCCCATCCCTATCCCAATCCCTATCCCTATCCCTATCCCTATCCCAATCCCTGTCCCTGTCCCAGTCCCGATCCTGATCCGTGTCCCTATCCCAGTACCTGTCCCTATCCCAATCCCCATCCCGTTCCCTATCCCAATCCCTATCCCGATCCCTATCCCTATCCCTATCCCAATCCCCATCCCGATCCTTATCCCAATCCCTATCCCAGTACCTGTCCCTATCCCGATCCCTATCCCTATCCCAATCCCTGTCCCTTTCCCTATCCCCGTACCTGTCCCTATCCCTGTCCCTGTCCCTATCCCGATCCCTATCGCGATCCCAATCCCCCTCCCTCTCCCCGTACCTGTCCCTGTCCCGTTCCCGTTCCCGTTCCCGTCCCGTTCCCGTCGCAGCTGAGGCCAAAAGCGAGGGATTCGGGCAAAAGTCCCGGGATGGGGGGGGGGGGGGGGGGGAAGGGGGGGGGGGGGCGGATTCCAGCGCGGCGGGAGCGCGGTGCAGGGTCCCCCCGCCCGCCGGCCCCATAGAGCCCCACAGAGCCCTATGGAGCCCCATAGAGCACCCATAGAGATCTATAGTGACCCACAGAGCACTCACAGAGCCCTATAGAGCCCCATAGGGCACCCATAGAGATCTATAGTGACCCACAGAGCACTCACAGAGCCCTATAGAGCCCCATAGGGCACCCATAGAGATCTATAGTGACCCACAGAGCACTCACAGAGCCCTATAGAGCCCCATAGAGATCTATAGTGACCCATAGAGCACTCACAGAGCCCCATAGGGCACCCATAGAGATCTATAGTGACCCACAGAGCACTTGCAGAGACCTATAGAGCCCCATAGAGATCTATAGTGACCCACAGAGCACTCACAGAGCCCTATAGAGCCCCATAGGGCACCCATAGAGATCTATAGCGATCCATAGAGCACTCACAGAGCCCCATAGAGCACCCATAGAGACCTATAGCGACCCATAGAGCACTCACAGAGCCCTATAGAGCCCCATAGGGCACCCATAGAGATCTATAGCGATCCATAGAGCACTCACAGAGACCTATAGAGCCCCATAGAGATCTATAGTGACCCACAGAGCACTCACAGAGCCCTATACAGCCCCATAGGGCACCCATAGAGATCGATAGCGATCCATAGAGCACTCACAGAGAGCTATAGAGCCCCATAGAGATCTATAGTGACCCACAGAGCACTCACAGAGCCCCATAGGGCACCCATAGAGATCTATAGCGATCCATAGAGCACTCACAGAGCCCTATAGAGTCCCAAAGGGCACCCATAGAGATCTAGAGTGACCCACAGAGCACTCACAGAGCCCTATAGAGCCCCATAGAGATCTATAGTGACCCACAGAGCACTCACAGAGCCCTATAGAGCCCCATAGGGCACCAATAGAGATCTATAGTGACCCACAGAGCACTTACAGAGACCTATAGAGCACCCATAGAGATCTATAGTGACCCACAGAGCACTCACAGAGCCCTACAGGGCCCCATAGAGATCTAGAGTGACCCACAGAGCACTAACAGAGACCTACAGAGCACCCACAGAGCCCTATGGAGATCCAGAGAGCCCCTATAGAGACCTATAGAGCACCTATAAAGCTCCATAGAGTACCCACAGAGCCCCTACAGAGACCCATAGAGCACCCATAGAGCACCTATAAATACCCATAGAGCACCCATACAGTCCCTATAGAGACCCATAGAGTACTCAGAGACCTATAAAGCATCTATAGAGATCCACAGAAAACCCATAGAGCCCCACAGAAACCCATAGAGCCCCACAGAGCCCCTATAGAGACCAACAGAGCCCCTATAGGGATCCCCAGAGCACAAAGAGCCCTACAGCAACCCATAGAGGACTTACAGAGCCCTATAGGGAGCCATAAAGAACCCATAGAGAGCCACAGAGCCCTGCAGTGACCCATAGAGCCCCTATAGAGCACTTAACATATAGAGCCCCATAAAGTCCCCATAGAGCATTTGGAACTCCTCAGTGAGGCCCTTAAGGTGTCCCATAGATACCTATAGAGCTCTGACGGGTCCCTACAGACCCCTATAGGCCTCTATGGGATTCTGTAGGTCTCGATACCCCCCCCCCCCCAATAGCTCCTACAGGCCCCCATAAATCCCATTAAGGGCTCCTATAGGATCCTTTAGCACCCCCATGTGCTCTTATAGGCCCTATAAACCACATCTGGCCCCTAAAAACCCTCTTATGAGCCCCTATAGGTCTCTATAAACTCTAGGGGCTCCTATAGTCCCTATAAGCCCTATTAGAGGTACCCATAGGCCACTATAAACCCTATTAAAGGTGCCCATAGGAGCCTATAAACCCTATTAGAGGCACCTATAAACCCTATTAAAGGTGCCTATAGGCCCCTATAAACCCTATAAGAGGTGCCTATAGAGCCCAATAAACCCTATTAGAGGTGCCTATAGGAGCCTATAAACCCTATAAGAGGTGCCTATAGGCGCCTATAAACCCTATAAGAGGCGCATATAGAGCCCTATAAACCCTATTAGAGGTACCTAAAGGCCCCTATAAACCCTATTAAAGGTGCCTATAGGACCCTATAAACCCTATTAGAGGTGCCTATAGGCCCCTATAAACCCTATTAGAGATGCCTATAGGCCCCTATAAACCCTATAAGAGGTGCCTATAGGCGCCTATAAACCCTATAAGAGGCACATATAAAGCCCTATAAACCCTATTAGAGGTACCTATAGGCCACTATACACCCTATTAGAGGTGCTGATAGGCCCCTATAAACCCTATTAAAGGTGCCTATAGGCCCCTATAAACCCTATTAGAGGTGCCTATAGGCCCCTATAAACCCTATAAGAGGCACATATAGAGCCCTATAAACCCTATTAAAGGTGCCTATAGGCCCCTATAAACCCTATTAAAGGTGCCTATAGGCCCCTATAAACCCTATAAGAGGTGCCTATAGGCCCCTATAAACCCTATTAGAGATGCCTATAGGCCATGGGGTTCTATACATCCCTGTAACACCCTTATGGGCTCTTATATCCCCTATAAGCTCCTCTATGGGCTCCTCTAGGTCTCTATAACCCCCCCCCATGAGACCCTATAGAGCCTATGGGGTCTCCTATGGGGCTCCACCGGGTCGCTGCAGCCCCCTAGTGGCCAAGAGAGGAACCACATGTCCCCAATGGGACCTTGGGGGGGGGGGGGGGGGGGGGGGGAAGGATTTGGGGGGGGCCCAAGGGGTTTTGGGGGGGGGGAAGGGGTTTGGTTTTAGGGGGGAGGGTCCAAGGATTGGGGGGGGGAGGGGGGGGGGAGCAGGATGTATGGAAACACGAACTTTATTGAGCCAATACAAACCTCCCCCCATCCCTGACTCATTAAATGTCATCAAAGAGCCCCAAAAATCAACCCTAATCCCCCCCCCTTTAAAATGGGGTGCGGGAACCCCAAGAATGTGGGGGGAGCCTCAGGATTCCAGGATAAACCCCAGGAATCCGGGAAGGGGGAAGGGAATCCTGGGATCCAAACTGAGCCCCCCACCCCCCCCTGCCCCCCCCAAAAAGGCTTGGGGGGGGGGGGTGGGGAAGAGGAGGGGTTTGGGGGTGTCAGGAATCGTAATCTTCCTCCTCCTCCTCCTCCTCGCGGGCTCGGGGGGGGCCGGGGGCTGGGGGGAGCCCCCCCGGCAGCGTTGGGGGGGGGCCCAGGGGTGCAAAAGGCCCCCCCGGGCTGTGGGAACAAGGAGGGGGGGGTCAGTGGAGACAAAATGGGGGGGGGGAGGGGGTTTAACCCCCCTCCTTCCCCCCAAGGTTTGGGGGGGTTCCACCCCCCACCCGACCCCCCCCAAAGGGGGCGCTGGTATTGGGGTACCGGGAGAAGTTAAGGGGGGCAGGGGCGGGGGGGGCCGGGGGGGGCTCCTCCTCCCCATCGCTGTCACTGTCCTCAGAGTCCTCCTGGGGGGCGATGGCAAGGAGGGGATGCAGGGACCCCCAAACAACCCCCAGGACCCCCCAAACCCCCTCAAGGCACCCCCCCCCCAACACCTTCAAGACCCCCCCCAAAACCATCCAGGACTCCCCAAACCCCCCCAAAGCCCCCCCAAACCCATCCAGGACCCCACACCCCCTCCAAACCCCTCTCAAGAACCCCCCAAACTCATCCAGGACCCCCCAAACCCCCCCAAGGCCCCCCCAAACCCATCCAGGACCTCCTAAAACCCCCCAGGACCCCCTCTAAACCCACACAGGACCCCCCAAACCCCCTTGAAACCCATCCAGGACCCCCCCCCCCCCAAAACCCCCCTCCAGACCCCCCCCAACACTTCTAAGACCCCCCCAAACCCATTCAGGACCCCCCAAACCCCCCCAAGACCCCCCCCAAACCCAACCAGGACCCCTCGACCCCCCCAAGACCCCCCCAACCCCATCCAGGACCCCCCAAACCCCCTCAAGACCCCCCCAAACACCTTCAAGACCCCCCCAAACCCATCCAGGACCCCTCTACCCCCCCCCAAACCCATCCAGGACCCACCAACCCCAACGCAGGACCCCCTAAACCCCCTCAAGACCCCCCCAACCCCCTTCTCGTCTCCCCAATAGCCATCCAGGACCCCTCAACCCCCC